AAGGTACTATGAAATAAGCTGTACTGTCCTGGAAGAGAATTCACATCAGTGGTGACAACAGGCTTCAGAGAAGTTCACACTGCTCTCTGAATGTATCGTTGTTCAGTATATTTGTCACCACAAATGGTTCATCACATTCTTGCAGTCAGTGACATATGGATTTTGCTGCTACCAATGCAGTCTTTTTTACTGCAGGCTTGTATATAGGGAAGTGCTTGCCTGAATGCCAATGTTCACATGACATTTAGATCTGCACATTGCTCTACAGTGCACTGGCAGCTACAAACCATGAGCTATATAAATATACTTTGAGCTACATTTTGTCTGCTGAGAATGAGGTATGAACTCACAGAGTGAGAGACACGTATGTGATTTCTGCACTGTTGTACTCGTATCTACCGCTCCATAGTTCCACACTGGCACTCCTGTGCATTGACTCTCGTCTATGGCCCCTCTTCTGCCACCTGTACCACAGAAAGGCCTTTTCACTTGAGGACCTCTCTGGACTCCCTGGGGTCTCTTCTTCTGCACATTCATCATACTCCTGATATACTATAATATCATCTGGCTCCATGTGTGCCAGGTCCACTGAGGATATGACTTCGAGATCTGGTGGTGATGGATCTGTATCTGTATCTGGGGGAAAAGGATCTGGGGCTTGATCTGTGTCTGGTGGAAGAGGATCTGGGGTTGGATCTGTGTCTGGTTGAAGAGGATCCTGGTCTGGATCTGTGTGTGGTTGAAGAGGATCTGGGTCTGAATCTGTGTCTGGTGGAAGAGGATCTGGGTCTGGATCTGTGTCTGGTTGAAGAGGATCTGCGTCTGGATCTGTGTCTGGTTGAAGAGGATCTGGGTCTGAATCTGTGTCTGGTGGAAGAGGATCTGCGTCTGGATCTGTGTCTGGTTGAAGAAGATCTGGGTCTGGATCTGTGTCTGGTTGAAGAAGATCTGGGTCTGGATCTGTGTCTGGTGGAAAAGGATCTGGATCTGGATCTGTGTCTGGTGGAAGAGGATCTGGGGCTGGACTTGTGGGTCCAAAGTCTATCTCCAGTGAAGTATCTGGGGATACTGAACTAGGAGGGGATATTGTGACAGTGACCTGTGGTAGTAGGACTTCATGTAATTCCGAGGCTACGCCCTGAGGCAAATGAGCTAGGTGATTCTCTATAGCTGGATCTGAACCAATGGATTCTGTTGACTGTGATAGATCCAAGGGGCACAGCGTGGCAGGGTCAACCGTGGCTATGGGTGAACTTGGACAATCTGAGTGGTATAAGGGTGGATCTAAATCCTCAGCATTAGATGGAGAGTCATCACTCAGGTCAAATGGTTCCGGTTCAGGGTCCATGAACACTGAGTCAAGATCATCTTGATCTAGGGAAGTCAGCATGACTAAGTCAAAGTGGACCAGATCAGCGTGATATATAGGAGTGGTGTCCAGGGGTTCTGGAAGGGGTGGCCACTCCGAGTCTTGGGGCTCTGGTTCAGTGTTTGGTGGACTTTCAACTGAACTGGAAGCAAAGGTTGAGACTGACGTCATTTGCTCTGGGGGAGGGTCAGGAGGATAATCTGGAAGGGTGATAATGGGATCTGGATTTGTGTCAATGTCAGTTGGACTTGCAGGAGGTTCTGTTTCCAGGTACTCTGACACCACAATGGATGGACAATTGATGTCAGTCTCTAAATTATATGGCGTAACAGTATCTAGATCAAGTGAGGGTGCATCAACGGCTGAGAGTGGGCCTTGATTAACTGGATCTGTTGAAGACACTGTGGATGGGTCTGATGTTTTTGGTTCTAATTCTGTTGATTCTACAGGATCGGGATCTTCTAATCCTGAATATGGCAAAGACACAGTAGTAGGATCTTGAGAGACTGGATCCAGCTTGTTCACAGTGTTGGGATCTAGAGACTCTGAATCTGACATGATATCATCATCATGCTCCTCTGGTGGAGACACAGTAACTACAGGGACTGGATATGGTAGCTGTATCTTATCTCTTTTAATTAGTTCTGCATCTGGAGATTTCATGTCATCAGGCTGAGATGGTTCAGTATCTGAATGGGACTCATTAGCTGGGTCTATATTTATTAGCTGTGCAGTGATTACCATTTCTTGTTCCACTGTCACTGAATCCTGGGGCTTCTCGAGGGTTGTTTCTGCTGGAAGTGGCACCATACCATGAGTGGTAGTTGGCTCATTAGTGGCCACGTCAGATAAACTCACAATTGCATGGTCTGGTAGCTCTGGTTTTGGTTCTGGTTTAGCTGCAGAGGGCACAACAGGCAAGTCAAATGGCTCGAATTGTGCTCTAAGAGAGCCTGTAAGTATTGGATCCAAAGAAAGCGGTATGGCACTCTCCACATACATTGACTGTGGACAGGCAAGAATGCTTGGGTCCATCGAGAGCTGTTTTGGCAGATTTCGGCGGGCGCCTTTCTTTTCCTCCTTCTCCTCCGGACAATTGACAGCTGCGTCTGCAGTGCTCTGCCGGACGAGGACCTTGCTTCTGGCCTGGGTCCCCACAGACACTTTGGATACTTGGGGTTTCTTCTCTCTAGCTCCCCCGGTGCCTCTATCAACTGTGGAGGTTCCAAGTGCTCCTGCCACTGCCCCTGTCCCTGCTCCCTCCTCAGCCCCTGCTCCTGCTCCTGTCCCTGCCCCAGCCCCAACCCCTCCGTCTAAACCTGCTCCAGCTCCAGCTGCCATATGATCACCTTGGGGAGACCACGTGTTGTAATGCTGTGTGAAAGTGTTGAAATTACTGTTGAAAGCACGAAGCTCTTTACAGAGGTCCCTCCTGAGTTCAGCAAGCTCACGCCGCATGGCCGAGACCTCTTCCTTCCACTGCATGCTGATAGCTGCAGCCAAGGTAGCCGACTCTTTGATACTGGCCTGGATGGCTTTTGGTGACGGCCGTTCTGGGGCACTAGATCTGGGGGATCTGAAGAGGCTTGGAGAGACAGGTGGTCCTGACAAAGGTTTGGCTGTAGCCCCCATGCTATCTTGTTGGTAAAGCCTGTCTCTTCTGATGGGGCAGCCTAGATCATCATGAGCCAAAGGGGCTGTGTCTGCCAAATCCTCATGTATACTGGTCTGGTCGGGTAAACAAGAGTCTTCCTGCACATAATTTCTGTCTGGAAGACAAATGTAAATATATATCTGTAATGTGGCCAAAGGTGTGAGCAGCTGGAGAGAATGTGCTTTTAATTGCCACAAAGCAGTAACATCAAATCATGCACTGAATGCCATGAGTCAAAATAAGATAATAGCAGAAATCTATAACAATTAGGTGCCAACCTTATGATTATTTCCCCAATTCGCCCATCTGTATACTGTAGATGCATATTGAAGAATTTTTAAACCACAACTTTAATAATCTGTAATATCATAAAACATTACAGTGTGGAATACCAGTGTAAGACTGAGAAAGTGCTCCCATTTTGACTCATTTCCATTAATGGTTTACACTGCCTTCTCGACCTTAATTTGTAGCATGCATTCTTCACATCTTTTCAGTGCACAAAGCTGAAACTCCTAGCTCCCGGAACACATCACAGAGAATGGACAATATTTCTAATAAATGAGGTGTAAGAACAATCCTTGCATGCTCTTCTGCTTTCAGGTAAAGAAAAGTGTACTTTGTGCAATGAAAAGAGGCAAAGATGAGCAAAGCTTCAAAACCTTTTCTCATAAATCAGGAAGTATTGTATGAACCCTATTGAAAATGTGAGGTCCAGTTTGAACCGATTGATTCGAACCACCAATTGCCCCATGTCCAAAATAGTGGAGGAATCCATCACATACCAAACTCTGCATCCTAAAAATGCAAAGATATTTGAGTTTACTGAGAAAGCAGTGTAAGCAAACATTTATAGGTATAAAGAATTGATTATAAGCACATCTCCAGATGTCCACACCCCTAACCCTCCCTATTATAGTCCGACTGATGTTGTTAGTTCATGTATCTACTGTGGGAAGAGGTGGAATCCGCTCAGACTTCTTGCCCAGACACTTTGTCTTCTTTTCTTCCCACATTCTTCATCTGTACAAGGACATATCATTTCCTCTGTGAATCCAGCAATCATGGGAATTGTTGAAACCATCAGCAGCTTACAATTTATAATCAAGGCTCAGTACCAGAAATAAATGCACGTGTCAGCTGAGTAGGTTTAGATTTATTGCAGCAGTTTGCATATGTGATATATGTGACTAACCAAAGTGACAGTTCTGTTACCGATGTATTCATTGTCAGCTTTACATTATTCACTGTCCAAGTCCAGACACAATAGTGTGCAGTTTTGTAATGGGATCTCATTGTGTGTAGACATGAGCTTTGCAATGAGACAAAATAATTTGTATGAAGTGAACAATCTGTGGACGAAGAGATTTCATAGTGTATGCTGTGATGTTTAAGGGGTTTGCAGCACAGTGTTAACTGAGTTTACAAGTAAAGAATGCATACTTTGCATATGGCAATTTCACCATTTCTCTGACCAGTTCGCAATAAAGCTGTGAGTGCGTTCACAAGTGTCACCATGTGGCCTCATAAAGAAAGTCAGATATCCAAAATGTAGCGGAAAAAGCAGCCATGTCCTTATTCTGACCTGATTTTTATTTCAGATAATTTCCATTTGTGATTTTCAATAGGGTTCATAGCTTTACTCTCTGATGCATCCAATGGATGAGCAGATGAAGCACTGTATCGAAAATACAGTAGGATGAACTGGCACAGGTCACAAGTGATAGCTACGGTAATCATACCTCCATCAAAAACAATGGAAACATACACGAGTGATTCATGCAAAGATATGAAGCTGTTTGACAGCACAACCAGTTTGCACTAACTGCTCTATATTCATCAATACCACATGTCAATGCCAAGTGTAAGCTTGTGGTGTCAGTTTGTCACTTGTACTTAAGCAAACAAAAATACCAACATCTAAGACATGTCACATGTTGTATTGTGCAAATATATTTTATGTCAAATCGTCCTTACCTGTGGTGGACCTGATGGTGGAGGTGACAGTGGAGGCCATGGGGGGGATGCAGTCATCGTCTTGGGAGTAGCCGGCCTGGATGGCTCGCAGGTAGCTGTGGCTCCGGGTTCGGAAGCAGCCGGGGAGGTCCAAAGCCTCCATGGCCTGGGATTCCACCTCACTGAACACAGACTCGCACACTGACTCAAACTGGCCATTTATTTCTGTTTCACTCACCTGTGAGAAACAAAAGCCATAAGCATGATTTTTCCATTGTTAGGCCAGTGATGATATTTCTCTGTTTATCCAGAGATATTTAATTGGTGGGTTGTAAAACGTTACACTATGTTTGCGGTCACTGTCCCTTTGAATAAAAACAAGGCTTCCTGCAAAAATCAAACAGTGTGCATGTTTTAAAATGCAGAGCTCAGCACTGAAATCCATGGAAAATGTGTTTTTATAATTTCAGTAGATAACCTGTGGATTTCTCCTTTTGCTGCAGTCGCTCTAGCTTTACAACCAAACAACATGATGTAAATTTTCATGGAGTCAGGGTTACAGTTTGATGTAAAAGACATGTTGTTGCTGACAGTACCTATTTCTGTTTTCTGTTTCAGATGTGCATGATGTGCCTTGTCAATGTCTGTGATACTGAATTGTTACTAATGGTTGTTTTACTGAGTAGAAAGTTGTTTGATGGTCATCACTCCATTCCCAGAATCAAAGATAAACATCTTGTTCTATTGGGATTTGGAATTAGTTGGAGTTTAGTTGACTCTGAACAAATCAATAGGCCTCTCTTTTAAGAGGGAGATGAATATCTCAACAACCCCTGTTGAAGTCCTTTAATTAATACAGATGAAAAATGTGCAATGAACTGCTGTGTAAATTAAGTGAAATGCAGTCACAAAAAAAGGGTATCTGTGTTTAAAAAAAATATCTAAAAAGAGGTGGTAGGATAGTTGTGCTCTTTAACTGGGATTTTAAAATGAAGATCTGTGTGGTGAAATCATTTTATCAAATTTTGCTCCCAAGGACCTCCTCCGTCCCTCAGTCTGTCCTGTGAGAAGCACTGCTCTTCATTAGGATTCGAGAATCTCTCCTAATTGAAAGGGCGCTGACTCACCTGGCTCACTTGGCTAACACAGCTAGCCTGACTGAGGGTGCTGACGGCCCGCATATAGCTCTGGTTCCTGGAGCGAAACTTGGGTGAGTTGTAGTTGGCAGAGGGATCCAAGGCAATGCTTGGGTGCATGTCCCTGGTGGCTTGCAAGTGGTAGCTCTGACTGAACAGAGAGAGAAAAAGAGAGGCAGGCAGGGAGTGGGACTACAGCCATGGTGATGATTTCTTAAACAGTTAAATATAATCGAACTAATATTTAAGTGGTTTGACTATAGCGGCTACAGGTGCAACATAATCACAAAAACAATGAAGTGCTATTAAGCGCAGTGGGCTTTCTCTGGGTAACCTGAACTTGAGAGGAAGACTGGTTATGACAATGTGTCTCCCAAGAGAGGTGCCTCTCTCTTTCTGTTTCTCTCCCCGACTACACTGATGTGTTCACCGGTGTCCTTAAAAAGGCAGTTCGATTTCTCTGGTGCTGAAACATCCAATCAATGCTTGGAAATGAGGGAAATGCAAATCAGGAGCTAGTTAGTGAGCAAGCACTTCAGAGAGGACCCCGGTGTCAATCAGGTCAATTAACAGTGCCCTCCCCCCCGCAGGGCAAGAGAGATGCTCACAAACCCATGCCTGGTTAGAAGTCTCCTGGAGAGAAGCTGAACAGAAAGGCACGGTGGAAGGAATGTGCTTTAAGTAAACTAAAGAATGCTATGTGAGTAACATTAGGAATACCAAAGTGAGGTTCCCTCTGCCAGATCTATTTGTAATGGCAGGCAGGGATGAGTACGCAGTTTCTGGGCTTTTTATAGAGATAAACGCTGGTGTTTGGCAGCGAGGAAAATGCCAGTGTGATTAAAAGTCCCCCAATCCATCTTGTCATGCTGTAGCAAGGCTGTGTGTATTTGCAAAGCAATATCAACCTTCTAGGCATCCAAAGACATCCCAGAGCAGAAACACACAGAGATTACGTCTGAATGAAGTGGTAAAAGTGAAGACGCTGTTAATGGGAAGAAGCCCTATCTCTTAAATCATATGGTTAATCTCTCAAAACACACACTGCAACAATGTTGTTTTCATCTTTAATATAAGAAAGTCATTTCCTGCCATACTGGTATATTGTATAGCAGTGAATCAAATCATATCTATATTGTGTTTAACAGTGCCTTATGCTTCGCCAGTATGAGCAGATTGCCCCAGGTGACCTCTCACTGACTGGTCTTGAGTGTTTGCTCTGTGAGGCGTCCATATTGAATATGTCAGCAGGGCAGCGAGCCAGCTGGCTCCTATGTCTGACCACTGCAACATGGCAGCAACAGAGCGGTAAGGGGAGGGGCGGCGCTGAGCCTGTATTCACCTTAAGTCTGCAGCAAAATTGGTGATGTAGTTACGCATGTCACTGTTGATTTTATCCAGGCGGTAAGAGCTGTGGGTAGAGAAGAAAACAGAGTTACTGAGTCCCACAAGTGGGAGTTGGATGGATGTGACATCACTGGGTACAAGCCCAATGGAACTGGCTCTGTATGGCATTTGTGGTGCACTGAATGTTCTGCAAACATTAGGGTGATACAATATGACCGACATGGCCTTTGTGTGATGGTAAAAGTGGGCAAAAGTTACAGTTACATTTAGTATGCAGATAGCTTTGTGCACACACACACAAGTGACGTGATGAGGGGTGTATTATGAGTTTTGTTGCACACACACACACACACACACACACACACACCCACACACACACACACACCCACACACACACACACACACACACACACACACACACACACACACTGCCCACCAGCACCAACTAAAAATGATAACAAAGCACTTGATAATGAAAAGCTGGACGCAAGAAAGAGTTAGACTACATCATAAACCACACATTCTTTCCCTGTGTGGGTAATTAGATTTAGTTAATTGAGCCAAATGAGAATTAATAAAAAAAAACAAAAAAAACAAAAAAAAAACCTACCTAAAGTCCTTCTCCAAGTCACAAAACTTAGTGGAGCTTTTAGCTGATAGGATCAGATAGAAGTGCACCGGCTGAGGCATAACTCAAGCATACTTCACCCATACCCTTCCCTGTAGAGATGTCTATTATCCTCAGCTGAGGGAAGGAGGGCGGTTTTGAGAATGTGTCGGTCCTTTATCAAATCATGCCACAGCAAATTTCCTCCTATTGTCTATTGAACCCTATAGGGGACTATATCAGAATGACAACGTAAACTTGAAAATGAAAATGTAATTCCACAATAGCATGATTATTTTCCACACATGTATGTTTGAGTAAATGTTGAAATGAAAATGCAACAACACAATTTGCATTTGCATTTTCACAAACTCATATGGGTGTTCTATGACCATATTAAAATGAAATTTCAAGTTTACATGATCATTTTAATATAGTCCCCTATAGGCCTCCACAAATGTTTCTGATTGGTGATAATGCACTTCCATAGTTGGCCGATTTTAAGGCAAGGGATGATGGGAATATCACACTTCCTGTGCTGCTGCTCAAAGGTCTGCCTTGACAATTGGTGCTAAGTGCTAATTTCTGAAGAGAAAGGGTGAAAGTAAGGCATTTGATTGAACAGGACATACTGTAGAGAAAGAGCCAAGGAGGATTCTGAGGCACGAAAAACAGTTTGCTGCAGGGGAGAAGAGTTTGCATAAAGGGTTAACATATTCAATAAGAAAAAAAAACAAACTTGGTTTCTTTCTTGTCAAACCTAATGCACTGCAAAGCCCTATGGTGAACAGTTACATCCTCCCGATGGTTCCCGCAGAGGCAGACGATAACAAGAGGAATGGATGTCATCTTGGTAAGGAAACCAAAAGGTATTGTAGGAATGTAGGAATGATGTTGATGTTTACTACATGTCATATTACTATAGCACTGGATCCACAGTGTTAACATGCTCTCTCGTACAAAAACACGCAACTTTTTCTTTTCAAGCTACTGCGTTTGTGGTTGGGGCCAAGGAGATTTTTTTTTTTAATCAAATACATTAGGTAACGGGGACAAGGTTAAGGTGTTAACAAAAAGCCTTGCAAAGAGAAAATTAGCCTAACTATGCATGACACGTCTCACGCAGCCACAAATCAGTGGATTGGAATTCTGCTTTGACCTTGGGATCCGAGGGAGAAATGCTCATACCCAGCGCCTTTTGAATGAGTAATTACATTATGTCAAATCAAGAATTATTGAATGCTTTGCTAGTGTTAACTTTGATTAATTATAGTGACTCGAGAGGCTAATCATGGATGGGAGGCAAACAAATGCGAGTTATTTTAGAAACTGCCAAAAAATGGGTCTGATTGAACGACTTGTTGGCCTCAGTCGTTTAGAGAGAGGTTAAGTTGCCGGAGACTGATATTGATGTTCATGTGCATGTGTGTCACTGCAACCCGTTTTCAAACATAACCTGTCATTACTGATTGACTCAGTGACTCATTATGCTAATGGCTAATAGTGAAATTTGCCACATGCCATTCAGTTCCCATCATCATTAATACATTCTTTAAACATCTTTGGCAGGCCCACAAAAAAGTCGATTCATATTCAATTTATCATTGCTGTCGGCTCTACAGGACATACAGGACCTGAGGGTGAAGTTGTAATTGAAGGGGAGTGGGTTTGGGTTGTGGGGTTTAAATGGATATTAATTAAAACAATCATCGACATCTAACTTTCCTTCTAGTGCACAGGCTGTTCCCGCTCAGTGTTCCCGTGACTGTGATGTATTCTTTATTGGACAGATGAACCAAGAGGCGACCCTGTCAACCACGAGCGCGTAAAGAGAACTTGAAAGAGGGAAAGATGGAGGGAGGTGACACAACCTGACAGCCTGTTCTCACTTTAACATGATTTGCTTCAGGGAGTTGCTGCTGTCAAATTTGTGTTTGGCCCATCTGAATGCCCCAGCGGGACGTTAAATTGCTACAAGTGCAGGGGAAATCCAACCTACGCCATGTCTGTCTTGAATCCAATCTAATTTCATCCCAACAAGCCCGATGAAGCATAATAGCATGAGAGCTCTCATGTCAGGTGGCAATCGTATCTGTGGTGACTCTTTTGTGTGGACGTATAACAGTACTTGATATGGACCACGGCGCTGCGCTGCCAACTGCCAAGAATAAAAATTGAAAATAGCCACACTTCTGAACAAATGATGAGAGATTCAGACTTTTAAGTAAAGTGTGTCCAAATGAAATCCTGTTTAGGTCTAAATAAAGTCAAGAATATCTTCATCCAAACAGGTTTTTAAAACAGTTGATTCCTCTTTCCCTGATCTCACTGCTGTTTGGTTTCCTCTCACTTTGATATTCTTTGGTGAAACAATCAGAGACCAGCCGGATTTGCAAACATGAGTGTGCCCTTTCATGCAAGCTGATTTATGGGAACTTTAGTTCAAAGTCGTGGGCAGCACTTTGAAGCTGCCCGTGTTTTCAGCTTTCACATTATTCCAAATAAAGCTCTGTCTACTGCAGCATAACTTAATTCCAACACTAAACCAGGGGTAAAAGTGGGATTTGGCAGGTGGGGGAACGCTAAGATTCATTGTCGCATGAGCAGTAGCCTGGCTCTTCGCACCAGAAGCACATTTCTCCACGCCGGTCAACAAGTGACTCTGCTCCTCTGTTCTTATTTTATCATACGTAGAGCTGATCTTAGTAATAACCTCATGAATTTAGAACATAGAGGTTTTTATATGCTCCTGGATAAGCGGGGCGGTACTTGTTCTGCAACAATGAAGTTAAAAGGACCATCGCCTTGTGTGAGGAGCTTCTCTCCTGCCTCTGTGTGTCTGCTTGTCTGTCTCGCTCTCTATTTAGACACTCTGATTTATTTACTCATTAATCGAAGGTGCTGGAACGCCAATCGTTCTGGCCCACTTCAACCCCCGCACTAAACTACAGCCTGACTGATGCTGCTTTTTGAGGCTGATACTGATTTGAGGGTGTAAAAATAATCGTGATATTTGCTGATATTCTTTTTTTCTTTTTTAATGAAAAACCTACCATAAACATGAATGCCATATTCATTCAACTATATATATATATTTTATTCTACTTATCTGTATCCTGTTACTGTCAGCGTTGCTGGCCTTCTTGTACTGCTCTCAAGCTAAATTTTCCTCCCGTGATCAATAAAAATATGAACTCATCTTATCTCTTAAATCATTTTTTAAAAAGAGTTGGGACCAACATATGTTTTGAGTAGGACACTCAATTAATTAGTTTAATTATCTTAACTAATTATTAATCAATTAGCTAATAAATGGATAAATATTGACTTGGGTGATTTATTTTGTCTAGCACTGCACTAAGCCAATCTCAAATTGTTGAAATCAGAAAAACTGTATATCTTGGAAGATGCACAAAAACACGGCACATAAAAAATGATATATATATCTCCAGCTCAATCCCAGAGGACAGATACCACATTATGGCAATCTAAGAGTGGGTTCAGGGGAGTATCAGGACTCCTCAGTAATGACACCCTTGGGGACAATCCTGGTGTTTGAAATGAATGCAACAACAAACCTTCTCCAGACTCAATAACGCTGCCGCTGCTGTCAATGGACTCTGAGGCCGGCCACACAGCCTGATCCATGCTGATCAATATCTTCCTTACAGCAGAGCCCAGCAGAATCTCAGTATAGCCACTGAGAGAGCCATTATTCAGAGGGTCCTTGGAGTACAATAACTGCAACTGATAGCCTTTCCCGCTGTTGCATCCTCATAAATCATTCACTGTTCACAGCTATTCAAAATGGATAGTCAGGGAAAGCTTTGGAAGATGTCGAAAAAGGGGCATACTTCACTGCAGCACCCTCATACGATACATCATAATCTGAAAGAGTTAAGAGCTGCTAAAAAGGCCAAACGACTGCATCGTCTGTGACAAATATCATTATCATCCTGCCTGATCACAATCCATAACATTCGATTTATCATCATACATCCACTGGGATGAAACTCTGGCTTACTACAGTGCGTACGCAAAAACAGAAACTGTTTGACAGCAGAAGCTGGATCTGGATCTCTGCTGCCCTGCTTCTGTCTCCTGGCATCCTGCAGAGACACGTCACAAACACTCTGCCACAGATGCTCATCATTAATTCTGTACGTGTGTTTGCATGTACGTGTTTCCATCAGGGTCAGGTGATGTGTATTAGAGGATTCTGTGGGCGTTGCTCTCTGCGGTTTCCGTGCCTCCACTTAAAAAGTCGTCCGGCTTTGTGAGGTGTAAGAGACGAGGGTGTGACAATACGAGTGAGGGAATCATCAGTGTTAGTTGGTGTGTGTATCACTGTCTGTCTGATGTTACATTCTGTAGCTGTGAGTGTGTGTCACAGGCTGCACTCTACACAAGGTCAGACACAAGGTCGTCTTTGCATAATGTCTACAAGTTATTTGCCATTATTTGCCTCTGGGCAAATAAAGAGAGGCTTACGCAGAAGCAGCAGCAGGTAAGAATCTTTCTACACAGTCCAGCAAACCTGCCTGAGTAAAGTGCACTGTATGGAGGACAAATGACACAGGCTATAGCCACATTGAGCTCCTTTGTTATTATATTTTGCATTTTCACATGTCACATGCATTATTTTCAGCCATTTGTTGTGACTTGTGTTTGGACCACAGTATACTTCTATCTATGTGCTTCTTTTCCCCTCACTCTCAGCCCACTTATTTACTTATCTTAAGAGAGAATAATGCTTATACCAGCTCAGCCAGTTAATATTAGAAGAAGAAGAAGAAGGTGTCCAAACATTTGATTGTAGTGTCAGCATGTCCTGAGCTGTGCTATAAGCCATGTTGTATAACCCTTTCTACCATGACACTGGGAGGAGAGACTTTGGAGCTCTGGTGGAAGGACACAGATTTTGTCTATAGACCAAATTTCAAATGAATTAAGCACAACAGCAGCGTTTTTTTGTTAATAGCATTGGATTAACTGAAACATTTATGGCACTCCCAACTCATTCAATATTTACGCAACGACCCAGATATTTTCAATCTCAAACTAACTGAGATCCTACAAGGTTGCTGCTGGAGTCACATATGGCAACGTCCAGATAATGACATCGGTTTTAGTCTTCAGTGAAAGTTTTGTGGCAGCACCGGACTACTTTCTTTCATTACCAAAGTGTACACATTCTTTTAACTGATGGGAGAGAAAACACATGATTTAATTGGTCATAAGTAAAAGCAGGGCCCACGAAAAATGTTCATATTCCTCTTAAAGCAAACATTAATTCAAACTGCATGCAAACGATTGCCAGAAAGCAGTTGTCTCTTATCCTATGCTTTTTTGTCAGATGCCTTTGATTAAAAGGATCTGGGGTCATTCAAAGTGCAATAAGTTACTGCTAAAGTTTTGCCAAAAAGAAATGAAAACTGAAGGGAAAAACTAAATGAGACTATCTAAAAATGAGAACGTACAATCAGATGTGCTGCTCTTTAAGTTGCTGCTAAAGGCCTTTAATGGAAACCTCCATAGTGAACTCAAACCTTGACTGGTAAATGCACTCAATATACACAGCTGACGAAGCAGAGCGAAAGGCAGATAAAAAGATTGTGCTTTGGAACAGCAAGTCTGGGTATATACTTTAAATTGTTATATTATTAAAATAGACATCTGTAATTACTGTTTGCACATTCTGCTGCGCACAAAGAGGAACAGGACCCTTTGAAGGGGGAACGAAAGTGATTTTGCTTTCTCGTACAGCCACCTTTAAGAAAAAAAAAAAAGACACTGGAAAAGATGAATCCGTCACACGCTATGAAATAATTTGATGTCTGAAGTACTATAACAATACAATTTAATACCACAGTAGGCAGTGAAATAAGACGATAAGTAACATGTGAATAGTTTCACTTATGGATTCCTAATTGAATCTATCTAAAAACTGCAGGAAAAACAACTGCAAGTGTGCCAGGTGGTGGCAACATCTATCTGTCTATATATTTCTATCTCTGTATTTGTGGTTGGTGTTCACTTAGTATACCACTGTCTTAGTGGACTGGGCTGGAAATGAATGAAACAAAGATGGAGGCAGGATGTGAGGTGCTACGGAAGGTGAGGCAAAAACAGCAGCTGAGAAACATAAAACTGAGGATTATCAGTACATACAACACACAGAATAGACGAGAGAATCCACTTGTGACCTCAAACAGCTTTAGAGTAACCTCTGCAGTGTATCATCGCTGTATCTCATTCTACTGTAATTAGCATTGAGCATATAAATAGTAAGAATAGTAGATATTTGAATATGTTACGTTGATGATAACACAACGCGGCAAATCCCTTTGGGCCGTTACTGAATGGTAACTCAGTTATAGCATTACTGCAGGTGAGGCTATGCTACTCTTTTTTCGTTGATCTGAGGACTCTATTATTTAATTTCATTCTAATCTAATGGATCTGTTAGTGCTGTAATCATAGTAACTCTTCTTCTATCTCTCCATAACATAATTTCTTGTGTTTATTTTCCTGCGACATTGTCTTTGGCTTGTCTCATCCTGTAATCCTCTTACGAGCGTTTTCTTCCGCCGCCGAGTTACAAAAACAAAAGCTCTCTATTTCCTCAGCAATTAATAGGATGCATCCCAGAAGAACACGCGGAACACTTTCTTACAGTTGAAGACACTGATATGAATATCCATAAAGGGATTTGAATGAGTACAGAGTTCAGCTATCGAGAGTTTGACACTGATGTTGTGGTGAGACCATACAACAAGAGAACTGTCAACACTGCTCGAGGGAATGTAAATTAGCAAATAAATTACAAGCATGGTCTTGCTCAGAACATAAACAGATAATAAGCTGAGGAGAGTTGCACTGTTAAAAAATACAATCTTACAATTGGAACATGGGAATAAACATGTCTCAAAATATAATACAAAACATCCTCGTGCACTGAGATACTTCTAGTCCAGCAAGTCAAAGTTGTTTTGAGGATTTCCAGAGATGACATTTCTAGAGATTTTCGAGAACAAGTGAAATTACATACGAGGCTAACAGAATTATCTTACCCCACCGAGTCATTAACTTAAAACCACTAAATATAGAATTTGAACCTTTTCATCTTTGGTGCCCCCAGTGGTACTATCAAAAATGAATGGGCTGCACAAATTATGACTGGGGATTTATTTATTCTTTTTAAGATACAAAAGAAAAACAAACAAACTATCACCAGGAGCATACTTCACTGTGGCACCCTGGTGATTTTCTAAGTCTGATCTAAATTGTTTTCTCCCATGTGTCAAGAACAGGTGAAGAAAAAAAGTAATTTTGCCAAGATAATCTTTCCAATGTTCCTTAACTTATTTTTAAATCCGTGAAAACAGGTGAAAAGTTTTTTTTTTTTTTGCCAAATGAAAAAGAAAAGCTTTTGACCTGATCATTTTTACAACAAATTCCTAACATTTTTTTTTTTCACCTGGCAAAAATCTTTTTCACCCGTTTTCACTGATGAAAACAAAACTTAGACTTAGAAAGATTATCCTGGCAAAACAATTTATTCACCTTCTTTTAAGTGATAAACAGAGGAAAGAAAACAATTTAGATCAGACTTAGAGGACTGAATACCAGGATTTATTTTTCTCTCTTGCCTCTCGGGGGTTCCATAGTTGACAGATGATTAAATGACAAATTTATTTTCCACATGATTAATTTAGAATTTCATGATTTAAAATAAGACTGAGAATTTTTAAGATGGTGTTAAGATTGCTCGCTTTGCAACATCTACACTGGAGGCAAAGTGAATAAATGAACAAGGACATGCCAGAAAAAAAAAAACAGGAAACCAGATAAAGAGCCAAACTACTTTAAGTTGAGTGTGTTGTACCTCTGAGAGTCTAACAGGTCCCTGGGTCTGATGATGGCCTTGACCAGGGCGTCTGGCCGCACCGACCTCTGAGGCGATGTCTTGGGGCTGGAGTCTGACTCTCCGCTCTCCTCATCCCCCATGGCTTTAACGTAGCTGCTGCTCCGCATCCGACGACAAGGGATCTCGTCATCCTTCCCGCCGCCAGGGTAACCCCCCCACTCATCCTGGGGCACCTGGGTAGAACGGTGAGGGACAAAGACACACATACCAGTTGGTTTGTAGACGTATACGCAACATATCTGATGTAGTAGTTGTGATGTCGTGCTTTTGATGCATTCATTTTTAGATGAGATATAATTCTTGATCTCATCCATCGACTTAGCTGCTAAATGCTCCACTTTGGTCACCTAGTTCAGTTAATGCTAAAATGCCCTGTAGAGCCGAGCTAAACAGTAGAGTCAAGGTGATAATACTGTTTTACTCTCTCACAATACATTGTGTGTTGTCTGTATCTTTCTACCAACAGCACTGTGAGTAAAAACCCCTGATAGTACATCTTGAGAGTACATTATATTCCCACCTCTGCGTTGCTACAGCACAATGGCCATGCAATTTCAAGGATTATGAAAGTACTGAGATTTCTCTTAACTCTTGGATGTAAATGTAAATGAAGCAAACCAAGCATTAAATTCATAGAAACCCGTGTTATAACATTTTCCAGTGATGAAGCAATGTGCCACTTGATAGACACTTGAATGAACCCCCCTACCTCTGGCACAGTTAGTTCCATCCATTGAGCCACACAGGACCATTTTCATGATGAGTCAACTCACATTAAAACCTTCACACAGCTCCCACAGCTGCTCAGTATTTTAGCTTTTCTGTACTTTGGCCAGGTTACAAACTGCTGAAAACCTTGCCTGAAATGCCGTTATAAATTTGGCTGGGTTTTAATCATAATTACTGGCAAAAGAAAGCTTGAAAACAGAGAAGAGGAGCTATCTTTGCTCACCCTGTCGTAGCTATCGCATGTGGAAACCTGCCATCAAAACAAGCCAGGCAGTTTACATGCTGCAGTTTTCTTGCACTCGTTAAACCAGGTAATTGAGTGTCCAGACGTCACCATCACCATTATTCCATTCAGAGTGAGAGCAGGGTGTCTCACTTTGCGCTCGCTGCTCGTCTCTACTGCATGTGGAGTGGATATTTCACACTGAACAAGCAGCATCGCAGTGGTCTTAAAAAAAACCCAAAAAAACAGAGCATCTTGTATACCGGCGCTCTGGCAGCAGAGCACTAAATGGATGGTAATGCACTTCCACGTTAGTCTTGCATGCTCAGACGAGGGCACTCTCACTCCCACGCTGTCACATAGGGGCGCTTGGTCAGGACCCTTTCTGTGTCACCTCTTAATGCACTGGGTAACCCTTCAGTGTCACTTTTCAACATGCAGTCCAACAGACTTCAGATGTTCTCTGCTGCTTTGGAAGTTGATGCATAAATCAAGCAGATTGCAGCCCGTTGTCTGCTGATGTACTCTGGGCGAGAACGCATTATGGTTTCTCAAGCAGAGCACATGCAACTGTTGTAATAATAAAATACAAATACAGATCATGTAGAGCAAAGTTATTGCAAAGAAGAAATGTGATTTCATTATGGTACATGCCATTATACAACATGTAGAAATGTAATTATATGATCCTAATAGGTGACTTTATTGGAGATGGTGGTGTGGCCTATTAAAATCTGGTGGGCCAAGTTCACACACTCACGTAAATGAACAGAGGATGAATATTCACAAGCTCATTACACACAATATCACACTCTTTCTCTTTCTAACTCACACACACACACACACACACACACACACACACACACACACACACACACACACACACACACGCACACGCTCATTTTGCTTTAGTTAAATGGCACTACAGAGTTCAATTACTGTGGCAACAGCAGCTGAGTCAGGGTCTTAGCCTCTCTTACAAACAAACACACACAGATGACACAACAGCACACACATACAGAGATCCTCTACAGTCATACGGCAGCATACAAATGTCTCCCCGCTGCTCTTTCTCTCCTTTCGAGATTTACCGTGTTTCACTCTGCTGACGGTGTGCGATGGCCTGAAGCTTTAGCTGGACATGCATTTACATGGTCAATGATCTATACTCACAAAATATGACAATGTCAGTAATCATTAAATTCTATGTGGAAGCTGAAGGTTTCTCCGATGCCGTAGCCATCCGTCACTTTAACATTCTGGCAGCCGGATCAGCCCCGGCGCAGAGCCAATCCACTCAGCTCGAGATTTCATTAAGTTCAATTTGACTTGGGTCTATATTTCTTTGATTTTACAGTAACTCTGCAGTCAAGACGAGTTTCAAAATAGCCCCCTAAAACTATTAATTATTAAAATACTGCATTGGGATTATACTGATAATTCAGATTCTTTGTTTTTCTGAAAATTTCCTCTGCCAGTCAGTGACTAACTCACTACTCACAGGTTCACAGTGAACTGGGTGACAGTTGACTGGCTGTGGCAAATGTCATGAGGAGATAGGCTACATCCAAATGTCACTGATGCGTCAAACACATGACTCTGATCATTTTCTGATGCAAATGTCATCTTTTGGAAAAACAACAACTGAAATGTGCTTATTATTCGAAAGGAAATAAAATCTGAAATGATCCTTGCCAGAGAGAAAATGTTAACTGCAAACTATTCAGACATAAAATCCATCTGCAGCTCTAAAGGTATCTGCTCGTTGTAGTTACACCCTGAAAAAAATGAAAGATTTCCTAGTGACACTAATTCTTCTGACCTTTGGCATCAATGCATGCCCACCCACAGTTACTGTTCCAACAAGTGTTGCATCAAATCAAAATGGCTTGAATAATTGATCAATTATGGCTTCATTACAACCCACTCTTTGTTAAACACAGAGACTGCTGGATCAAAGCTGCCTTTGACTCTTATGTTTCATCTGTTGTGAAGTTAGCATAGGGGAAGACATGACTGATGGGGATTGTGGTGTGTCCTCTAAGTCTTTAAAGTTCAGAAGCAGATTTCACTGCAGAGCTGTGGTGTTACGTCATTACAAAATGCACTGGTGATTGTATATGTCGCACAAAAACACTCTTCCTCAACAAAAGTCATACTTGAATACACACGTATGCAGAAAAAGGACATCAACATGCCTGCATGAATCAAGAACAAATAAATAAGTGATCTATTCTCTCCAAAACATGCACAGGCACGGACATGCATGCACTGATACATAACCTAACTGGATTCTACCCACAAACACAACACACACACACACACACACACACACATACACACACACACACACACACACACACACACACACACACACACACACACACACACACACACACACACACACACACACACACTCAACCACACAACCTGATAATAGTCATTCATCTCCCCTCCAAAGACAAGCATGCACCAGCTACCAAAATGGAGTCGATGGGTTAATTAAGTCTTGGAGGGGTTTGATATTTTTAGACGTCTAATTAATGAACGGAACGCCGGAGGACAGGCGCAAGCTGTGGTGAGATTTGTTTAATTTGGATTCACTGATAAACTGGATAGATTGTAGGGTGTCTCCCAATGAAGATTAAAAAAAAAAAAAAAAAAAAAAACGGGCCGAGCAGCAGCGCGCTCGTATTGACGACTGTGAAAACACACGGTGTTTCCCAGCATGCTCAGTGGAGCTGGAATGCAGACTTTCTTTCACCTTGACCTGAAGAGCCCACCAAGGTAAGACACGGGATTCAGAGGTAATCATGCATCCACAGGCTCACTGCCATGTGCAATTATTTGATGCATTCTCAGGGACGTTTTGATGGTTCCGTTGTTCCTAAATAAATGTGACAGGTCCTGTTCCGTTCTACGGCATATTTTGTGGCCGTGATGTAAAAGCCCCTTGTGAACATGGGCTGAGGTTTGTGGGAGCTGTGTGAAAATTCACAGCTCAAGTGTGAAGATTCATATTCAGCCCTTTAACTAATTGGATTCTGTTCAATAAAGAACAGACATGAATTAGGGAAAATTATGTTTTCAAGTGATGAAAGTGGGGTATGACCTCAGCTCTTTACACAGTTTTAGGATTTCAACTTTGCCACTAAATAACGTTTTTGAAATGGCTCACAGACATCAGGATTATCCAGACATTGGCATATTAGCTTTGTGTGTCTACATTTACTTTGATCTTGGACTCTATAGGAGGCCACACTGAGCATGATGTGTATGTGTGTGTGTGTGTGTGTGTGTGTGTGTGTGTGTGTGTGTGTGCTGGGTCTTGGAGCTAGCCAGGCCTCAGCCAATGCTCCTGCAGTGCAGCAGTGCATTTCATTGATTAACTCTGCGGCTCTATCTATACACAGCGCCTCTCCCACTAAGAAACCTAAGTCACTGCCATTAAGTAAAGAAATAGAGTGGGATAGACAGAGAGAGAGAGAAAAGAGAGAGAGAGAGAGAGAGAGAGAGAGGCAGGATGGATGGGACGTAATGTAGAGAAATGGCTGAGAGAGAGGAAGGAAGAAAGAGTGTTAGAGAACTCTTAAGGTTCAGTCATAAGAAATCCCACCCACCAGCCTGCAGCCCCTCATTTCCTCCCACAAGATTGCATGGATATGCTGTGTGTGTTAGAACAGGTGTTTTCTTTTGTCTCTCTCTCTCTGTCTCCTCTTCCCGCCTCACAGGGGAGAATGAATACACAGAATCCTTACAAGCTGACTGACTGAACATCTACCATACGCCCACCACAGACTCTTCATCTCTCGGCCTTTCTTTTTCTCGTGTATACGCCCACAGATGCAACATTCAGAAGTCTGTATGGTAATCTTGTCTCCATGTTGTTTATTTATTGACACCTCATACTATCAGATGTTGGCATGTGTAAATAGATGCTGCTCAGCGATAAAAGGACAAGGAGGCAGTGTGTGTGAAAAATCTAAGTATGCCACTTTCATAATGTTGTGCTTTTCATTCAAATATTGCTACTCCAAGCAAAAGCAATAGCATGAAGATATACGTAGGGACAACAGTACTTTACACTAAATGCTAACTTTAGCATTTGAACATGCTCCACATGCTAACATGCTGGTATTTAGCAGATATATTGTTTTCCCCCTTGATACGATTCGTTCGGTCAGGAGTGAAAACAGTGATCGCACTTGGGTGCGGGCCAAA